ATATCTAATATCGAATACACCTTATGATAAAAATAATATTCCACCTTCATTTTTCACAGATCAATAGATAACACCCATAAGAAGACGATACTATTCTAATTATTCTAGATTTAGAGAGTTTATTTTTGAAATTATTATAAAATAATTACAAAAGGTTACATTGTCAATTTTAGTCATCAATAAAACAATAATGATTGGTGTACACACCGAGTTACACCATATTTATTTACTCTTCGCATAAACAAAAAAGTATATATACAGACACTTATTGATAAAATTTATCTTTGTGAACAAGATTGTCTGAGTGTGCAAATCATGATGTACTTTTATTGCATATTTGTCATGGTGGTTGCACGGAAATCAATATCGATGTACATAGACAAAAAAATGTGTAAATAGACTTTTTGTCTGGATAGACAACTTAAGTTGTTTGTATACACAAACAAAAGTGTTACACACAAACAACTAATGTAGATGTACCCAGACATTGATTCTCGTGCAACCACTCTGACATTTTTTTGCAAAAAAAAGAACGTCAATTATGTGATTTACACACAAACTAATGTTTGTGTATACATAATTACATAAATTAGTTGTTTGTGTGTAACATTTTTGTTTGTACACACACAAAGTGTTTGTACTCGTACATTTTTGTCTCTCACTACAAAAAAATTACGGGATTGGCACGGAATTTGGCATGAACTTACCGATTTTTCGTGCCAAATAGCTCATGACACAGTGTTTTTGGCACGGATTTGTCATTTCCCAGCCAAAATCCCTGTCAAATCTCTGCCAAAATCCCTGTCAATCCCATGGTTTTTTGTAGTGTCTGTACATTGACATTGATTTACGTGCAATTGTTCAGACAAATCTGCAAAGAAAGTACTCCATGATTTACACGCACGAATAAATTTTGTTCAAATAGACAAATTTTATCGATAAGAGTTTGTATTTGTACTTTTTAAATTTGTGTATAGGATAACTAAATAGGGGGTAACATAGAGTTTATACCACACATTATTATTAATAAAAAATGAAATGTTTTAATTCTTTTTTTTCTGCCTAGATAACTATGTTAGACTAATCTTATCAGTTCGTCTACGTAGTTTTAATCAATGTTAAAAAAAATCGCGTGAACAGTACACGCGTGTACGGTATAACTTTTTTTTCTTTTATCCCAGTAGCATGAATGATGTAACTCGCGTGTAAAGAAATGTAACTCACGTTAATAAGAAATGTTACTGCAGGCAATCAAAATGTAACTTGTCTAAAATAATGATTTCAATGTATGTAAACAATAAAAAAAGGACTCAAACTTCTTATTTAATTTACCTAAATAGTGAATATGTTTTGTTTTTAATATTAAGACCACAAAACGTTTTAAAGAAATCATTTTTTCCCCAAAAAAATCATTTTTTACAAAAGAAAATCGATTTAAAAAAGGTTTTTTATTCAATAAAAGAGTTTTATTTTGCCATTATGAAATACAATATACTTATTTCATGTGGATTAATAAAATTTTGTAATAAATTGGTAAAGAAAAAAATCAATTCGGCTATAATTGAATTAGTTAAAGATAAAGATAAGGTGAAAATCACAAATAATTAGTGTAACGCACGCATAACTAGATGTAACTTGCACATAAGAGGATTTAACTTACACATATCAATATGTAATTCACGCATAGTAACATCTAACTCGAGCATAAGAAGATGTAACTTCGTATATTATCAAATGTAACTCTAAGAATCAAAATAAACAAACTCAATGTCTTACAAACTTTTAAAAACACATAAAAGCGATAAAAAATATTATAGAAATTAAAAAGTGTATGCAAATAAAAGTTTATTACAAAAAAATGTATGAACATGAAAAAGATTTTACAAAAATGGTGTATGAATATAAAAATATTACAAAAATAAAAATGAAATGCAATGTACTTACTCCCTCCGTTCCCAAAAATACTTCCCACTTTCCTTTTTGGGCTGTTCCCAAAAATACTTCCCACTTTCCCATTTTGGACAATTTGTGTGGCTCACATTCATTTTATCTTTTTCTTACACAACCACAACCATACATTTCCACTTTATTCCACTTTCTTAATAAGCGTGCCAAGTCAAACTGGGAAGAATTTTTAGGAACGGAGGGAGTATTTTATTTAGATTAATAAACTTTTTGTTATGTCTTGATAAAGAATAAAAAAATAGATTCAATTATATTTAAGTTGAAAATAAAGAAAAGTAAAATTGCAATTGAAAGAAAAGCAAAAGAAAAAGGAATGAAGAAGCTACAGGGAGAAACAAAGAAACGTAATTGCCAAAATTGAGATCGGTACGTCATGCGAAAGGTGGGGCGTATAATTTCCGCAATCTTATATCCTCTTAAACAAGCCTGCCAGTGATGGGTTTAATTCCTTTTTGATAGATTATGTCTTTGAAATTGTGGTTGAAATTAGACATAAACACTTCCATATTTTCATAATTAGAATTTAATTCGTTGACCCTCTAAGAACTTAGCATTACATCCATATATGATTTATATGAAAGAGTAAAAAACAACACCAATAAACCATAAAATACATAAATAATTTAAAGTCTACTTCATAAAAAGAGAACGATTTTATTCAAAAAGGACGACACACCATCTCTGAGTGCCTCCAGCATCATCTAGACAATTAATTGAGAAAATGCATATTGGATTCTAATCACAAACTGGTAGACAGGAAGTGAGGTTCTAATCCAGATACTTGCATATAACTTTATGCATTTTTACAAAGTAATTTGCACCACAGCTCAAAGAATTTGAACCCAAGACTTATGATATTTTTTACTTGGACTGGAATTTTCAAGTCTTATCTAGTATGATTTGGTTTGGTGATTGTCTGGTATCTATGTATTTCATAAATTTTCAAGTCTTATCTGTCTGATTTGGTCTGAGGCTGAAACGGTGCAAGTAAAAGCATATTTTATCTTTCAGTTAAGCTAGGCACCCCACTTTTTGTTGAGTTTCTTTTAAGAGGCCAACAAAATAAAAAGTCACACTATATGGTTCTATGATTTTTACCATCCAAAGAGGATAATACTCCGTATTAAATAATTAATGCATAAATCTGGTATTCTTGTGTGGTCCTTGAGAAGATAGAATACAGAGGGAGAAGACTGGAGAAAGAAAAGCATTGCCTCCAACTAAAGTCGCAAGGACAATTTGAGTATCTAAATTTATTAAAAATAATTAGAATCCGGGCCCACATAAGACTAGCGTACGTATGCCGAAAGCAGAATCCCTGACCAAATCATCCCTCAGTCCCTCACAACAACACAAATTGCTACCCTAGTTTGCCTTCCGAATTTGCCCCTCTTCCACAAACTTTATTCCTTATTTATTATGAGCGGTTTAAGATTCCTTTTTGCAAGAAAAAGGAAAAAAAAAAGTCCAGGAGAAATTTGAGGACTATTTTTTGGACGACCCAAAGAAAAATTAAGAACAATTTTGCGAGATGAAGGGAGTATTAATTATGATGAATGGAGGTTTGACCCAATATACTTTAGTGTTCCTTACTTTAATTATCACCCATTCATCAAATAACATGCTTTTTAGAAGCATCAAAATGCATACTTAATTTAATAGAGATAATTCATTGAAAATGAATTGTACACCATATGTAATATGATTGACCCTTAACATATGCTTTAGAGTTTTTGTCATTTTTGGTCACTCGACTATTATGTCAATGACACTTTTGGTACTCGACTTCTAATTTTTCCATTTTTAGTCCTCGACTATTGTGCTAGAGACACTTTTAGTCTCCGACTTCAAAGTTTCCCACATTTAGTCACTGAGTATAGTCAAATTGACATTTTTAGTCCTCCCATTATGATTTTAACACAATAAGTGGAGGACTAAAAATGTCACTATTATAATAGTTGGAAGACCAAAAGTGTCACTTTTATAAAAGTTGAAGGACTAAATATGGAAATTTTCAAAGACGGGTACCAAAAGTGTCTCTAGCGCAATAGTCAAGGACTAAAAATGGAAAAAATCAAAATCGAGTACCAAAAATGTCAATGACATAATAGTCGGAGGACTAAAAATGGAAAAAACTTTATGGAATTGTTATATCTATATGGGATTGATGACATTATTTTAGAAAGGAGTGCAACACTATAAAAATACGTCTAAAACCGTATGGATTAAGCATTACACTATTTTCTATGAACGGTGCATTAAGCATTAGACCTTTTTTCATTAATATTATTAAATTAAATTCAAAAAATAAAAATAAGACGTATTCTAAAAAATTTCAAAAAAGTGACATATTATTGACTAGGTCACAACGACTCATTATTTACAGTGACTCGTCATTCAAAAATACATCACAGTGACAAGTTCATAGTGACTCGTACATAATGACTAGTCATATTTTTGTCTAAAAGCATAATTAGTCTGGATAAACTCTATTAATAATATACATGTCATTTTTTCTAAGCGTTATTGCATTTCCTATAAAGTTGATACGTATTCATTTTATTATTATTTACAAGGAATAATAAATAGATCTAATCAGGTGTACAACATTAAAAATTATGGTGTGTTCTCATTGTATCAATATAATTATCTATTCGTCTCATTCTGTTTTCACGTACTTTAAAAGTATTATTATAGAATTATTGTATATTTTATGAAAAGTAAGATTTTTATACAACAACAATAATGAATACTTTATTAAAATGTATTGTAATTATTGTAAGGTAGATTTCTTTTCAAAAAAGAAATGTGGCATTTAATTTAATACAAATCGAAAGGAAACGAGACAAGTATTTTTATACGAGTGAAATATATAATAATGCAATATTTGACTTTTTAAGAACATATACTAGAAACAGAAATAGACAAATCAAAAAGTCAAAAATAAAAGGAAATTGACAAAAAAGAAAAGGGCAAGAACGTCTATCACCCAAAAACTTTCCTCATTACTGCTCTTTTTTCCTTAGCTCCAAAGACTTCTTCCTTCTTTCATAGTTACACTCAAGGTCCCCCCAAAGCTTCTTCACTTACTCCAATGGCAGACTCGTCCGATGTTCCACCGAAACAAACAACAGATAACCAAATAGGTAAGTACTACTACAAACACTTCATGTTCAAACCTATAGTTGTAGTAGTTTTCCTCGTTTTTCTCCATCTTTTCCCCTCACAAGCTCCAGAGTTCCTCAACCAAACTCTGGGCATCAAAATCTGGGAAATCCTCCAGCTCATCTGCGTCGGCATAGCCGTTTCTTACGGCCTGTTTAGCTGCAAAACTGATGAAACAGCTAAAGAAAACGATGGGTCATCAGCAACAAAGACCGCGCTTGACAATGCCCAATCCTATGTCTCTGGACTGCTTCAGGTTTCTTCTGTTTTTGATGATGATGAAGAGGAAGAATCTGAGGGGCCTTCTGTCGTTTTTGATGAAAAAATTGACAGAAGCAATAAGATAATTGATCAGACTTGGAGAAATCAGTATCATAGAGGTCAACCAAGGGTAGTAATGGCGGTGAACGATAAAACTTCAAGAATCGGTGAAAAGCCGCTTCTTTTGCCTGTTAGGAGCTTGAAATCAAGAGTTGAAGTAGAAGAAGAAGAGACTCTGCAGGAAACAAATGATGGGGAAAAAATGAAGAGCCGGACTTTGCCATGGAGGTCAAGATCTGCGGGAAGAACAATGGAGGACCCAGAATTTAATAAGCAGCCAGAACAGACAAAATCTTTTAGGTCCCAATCATTGACAAGACCATCCTCTCCTTCTCCAAATAAGCTTAAACCTTCTCCTCCCCCCTCTACTGATGAGGAGATAGCGAGAAAGAAGAAGATTCCCCCTCCTCCTCCCCCTCCTAAGTCTTCATCCATGAAATCCAGCTCAACTGAGAACAAGAACGAGGAACCTCCAAGAAGATCATATTCAGGGAGGAAAACCCAAGAAATTTATGTTAATGATGAAGAAAATGCAGAAGAAGAAGAGCAAGAAGGTGTTGTTTCTTCAAGAATTGAAGAGGATGGTCATGGGGTAGTTGGAAGAGATGATCATGGTGTTGGAAAGAATTGCGGTGATGATAATAACAATAGTGATACTGATAACAGTGGGGATGAAGAAGCACCAGATGTTGATAAGAAAGCTGATGAGTTTATAGCTAGATTTAGAGAGCAGATCAGGCTGCAGAGGATTGACTCTATTAGGCGATCTACTTCGGCCGGCCATGGCGAGTCTGCTAACAAAACCACATTGTAAAGGGGGGATGATTTCATCATATCTGTTTTTATATATCATTATTTTGAATTCCTTTATCATTCCAGTTAATTGTCATGCTTTAAGATTATAGGGACTACTCTACTGCTGTATGGGGGCTTATGGTATACCAACTAATGTCTTAAGTCTGATCGTGTGTATTATCTACTACATACATTAAACTGATCTGCTCTCTAGCTCAACTGTTTGGAGCTGTGTGGAATTATGGTTCTTGCTCATGAGGTTGACTATCATTTGTGGGCTACAAAATCCAAATGAAGATTGAATGGCTTAAATCAAACTCTTGATATGACTTCAATCAAGTTACTTTCTTAATCTAACCAGCCAAACTTCAGCATGTCTGAGAAGAGGAAATGCTAGGCAGCAGCTACTGTGGTGAGCTAGCTAAACTGGGACAGTGAAGGCACTCCAAGAGGCGTAAGAAGCCTCGCTCTTAGTCGTCCTACGTCATGCTATAGCCTCGCTCTTAGTCGCTATACGTTTTGCTAGAGCCTCGCTCTTAGTCATTCTACGTTGTGCTAGAGCCTCGCTCTTAGGCAATCTACATTAGGCTAGAACCTCGCTCTTAGTCAATCTACATTTGTGCTAGAGCCTCGCTCTTAGTCAATCTACATTTGTGTTGAAGCCTCGCTTTTAGTCAATCTACATTTGTGCTAGAGCCTCGCTCTTAGTCGATCTACATTTGTGCTAGAGCCTCACTCTTAGTCGAACTACGTTATGCTAGAGCCTCGCTCTTAGTCACCATTACGCCATGCTAGAGCCTCGCTCTTAGTCAAGTTATTTGATTCCTAAGCCAATTCTATGTCTAGAATCAATTTATCTTGAGTAGCCTTTAAGGCCTACTCCTAATATACTTAAAGCTTATACAATTCGTCCTTAAGGTATCTCTTGAGACTCCCTAAGGTATGACTTCTCACAATCTGAAACAATTGGATTAATTCTATCATTTTTCATACTAACATTCCGACTAGTATTTCAATACTAGTCAATTGATCTTGGAACAACCAAGTTCCAAATTCATAGTCATATTATTCACCTCAATTGATTTTTCAATCCAAATATAATTTAATCTCAATATCAAAAATATCACTTTTATCCATTCATGAATTCTACACATTAAGTAAAAGTATATTTTATCACAATATTTTCATAGTTAATTCCATTATCATGTCATCACTTGCATATCACATAATCATAAATAATTTCTTCCAAATTTGTATATCATGCTTCATTTACTCTTAAACAATAGTATTTTGATTTAGACATTATTAATCATTAATAATCCATGAAAATCACATTTAACTACCTTAGGTAATCTTATGAAATTAACTCACTAATTATAAGCAATATAGTCAGTCATCCTCTACTTAAATATGTCCAGCAACCCTTCCTATTGAAGCCCCATCGTTAAACCTTCAATCAGGAATGATCTGAAATGGACTTGGTTGGCAGAGGGCAAAAGCCATCCGGCTTTTTCAAAAGCTGCCCGGCTTTCGGGCCCTGCAGCATGAAAACAACTCCTAGAAACGGCAGTTTCCGGCGATTTCGATTCCTATCTATTCCACAACTCTTCTAAGTTAAATACCAACACTTTATATCATTTTTCTACACTTTTAAACGTGTAGAACATCCCCTAGAATCCATCATATTATTTATATAAAATCATATACGAAAAGTATGTTAAACGGAAGAACAAGAACCGGAGCTACAGGATTCTTACCCATAGGCTTCATTTTTTATCGGATTTCCTTCTCTTCTTGACTCCCTTTCTCCCTGAGCTTTTACTATGAGTATGCATAGACTCCTCGTTAAAAATTTCTTACTTCAAGCTTTAATGCCTATTTCATACGTTATATACTATTCACGGTTCTTCTTATCGATGATCTTGCCCTCTCTTCGGGTAACACATGTTCTTCTTACTCAACTTATTTGTTTAAACCTTGGAGCATAGGGCCTTGCCCTTATTTTCCCCGAGTTCTCAATCTCCCGGTTAATAGCGAACCCTAGCACCATGCTTCTCAAATCATTCCTTATCAAGGAATATCATATGGGTTCCAGTCATACTCAACGATATTACACCTTACACTCAATTTCCTTTATTCACTACTACCGTTATGTAGTAGTATGTATCGATCGTCGTATCATTTCAATTTACAAGTGCCCCTCTCACACTTTCTTAACACGTCTCCGTATTAAGGATGATTCCATCATTCTCCCCGCACACCTTTAGTGTTCCTATACCTCAACCTCCACGCAAGACACACTCACCTTCGTAACGATACGTTTCAAGGCTCAAAAGATGGCTCGAGCTCAAGACAGACGAAAGCCGTCTGGTTTACATGAAAGCCGCCCGGTTTCCATTCCCAAATAATAGTTTCCGATTACTTTCCTCCGTAAGCCGGCCGGTTTCCATGAAAGCCGACCGGGGTTTGACAACGTTGTTTTAAATCAAACATTAATTCCAGAAGCCGACCGATGTTCAGCCCTGTACTTTAATTCAATTTATTCAACCCAAAAGCCGGCCGGTCCTTGCCAATATAAAAAATATCACTTTTATCCATTCATGAATTCTATACATGAATTAAAAGTATATTTTATCCATTCATGAATTCTATACATGAAGTAAAAGTATATTTTATCACAATATTTTCATAGTTAATTCCATTATCATCCCATCACTTTCATATCACATAATCATACACAATTTCTTCCAAATTTGTATATCATGCTTCATTTACTCTTAAAAAATAGTATTTTCATTTAGGCATTATTAATCATTAATAATTCATGAAAATCACATTCAACTACCTTAGGTAATCTTATGAAATTAACTCACTAATTATAAGCAATGTAGTCAGTCATCATCACCTTAAATATGTCCAGCAAGCCTTCTGATGGAGTATATGGGTCCATGCCCCAGGACCCACATACTCAGAACAGAAAACACAGCCACTACGCGGTGCCCTCGTCGGCCAAAGACCCTCGTCGGCCGAAGAAGGACCAACTCGGAATATGATCCTGAAGCCAAGGAACTAGGGTGTCCTCGTCGGCCGTGCCCTCATCGGCCGTGCCCTCGTCGGCCAAGACCCTCGTCGGCCACGGAAGTCTCACAGAATCGGATTTTACACTTATTCATTTATATAGCCCACCAGTGGCTCTGTATTTGGCCCAATAGCGGTCCAGTTGTAAATGGACCTCCCAAGCCCAAGGCTTGGGAGCCCAGCCCGTATTTTCCCTATAAATACTTCCTCTGGAGGTAGTTATAGGGGTTACAAAATCATTCTATTGAAGCATTACTTGCACTTCTCTCTCTAGCTCTCACTTCTCTCTAAGATATATACTCTATCATTTGGTGCTCTCGTTGAGAGCTAGAACAATCAAGTTAGCACCCTTCGTCGCTACCAAGCACAGCTAACCATTGATCATGGGAAGAACTAAGTCAAACCGCAACCTCGTCAGCAAGGTCATCCCTGAGGATCAGGAGACCAGGGAGCATGAAGAGGACGCTACGGCCGACCAGGTCGGTGGAGGAGACGTCTTCCAGGAGGCCATCAACCTCACGACGGACCTCCGCAACCAACTCAACGGCGGAGCCCCTGATGCCCGCATCGGCCTGGACAAGAAACGAGCTGAGAAGACAGACCACGCCCCGGCCCAGCCTATGGCCGCGGCTTCTTCGTCTGTGGATCCACAGGTCCAGGCCGCGCTGTCGGTCATCATCGCCAGCTTGGCCCAGAACCCCACCGTCCTCAGCGCACTCTTGCCAAGGACTGAGGGGAACGTCGCTCCACCTCCTCAGCCCCAACCGTTGGCCGTCAGGTTAGGCAACGATGAGGGGGTGATGGCCCAAGACACGGTGTCGTCCCACTCCCACCCCGCTTCCCCTCTTCGGCCCGGGCAGACCCTAGCGCGTGGAAAAGCCTCTGCCTTCAACAGGCTAGGTGACACGTGCCGTCGTCCGGTTTCGGAGAGGATGGCAGGGCGGATTGGTGAGCGTTGGACTGGCTCGCCAAGGGAAAGCTTGGGGTCTGGGTCCCGGACAGCGGACCAGCCCCGCCTGGACAAGGGCAAGGAAAAATTGCACGAGGACGACGTGCGCCACCAGATCAATGCGGCCCACGACGAGCGCATGAAGAACCAGCAGGGCGCCGCTGCGGCCGCCAGGGACCCCCGGGACGAGGTCATCGCCCAGCTGGAAAGGAGGCTGGCCCAGATGGAGGCCAGGGAATCGGCGAACATCCCCACGGCCGGCGCCTCCAACGACCCTGGCCTCAACGCCCTCATGAACAAAGTCAGCACCCTTGAGAGGGAGTTGGCCGAAGGGCGAGGTGACCCCGTCATCCAGGTCAGGACCAGGACCCCTTTCACCAACAGGGTGCTCTCGGCCCCCATCCCGGAGAAGTACAGGGTAAACGCCATCAAGTCCTACGATGGCCGATCAGACCCCCAGGAGCACTTCAGCCGCTATCAGAACAACATGCTGATGGTGAACGCGTCGGATGAATATCTCTGCCGTTGGTTCCTCTCTACTCTTGAGGGGCCGACGTACGAGTGGTTCAACGCGCTTCCCGAAGGAAGTATTGACTCATGGCAAGATCTTGCCCAGCGCTTCCTCACCCATTTTGCCGGGAGGAAGCGTGCGAAGAAATATTTCACCCATCTCCTCTCCATCAAGCAGCAACATGACGAACCCCTCCGGTCGTTCATTGATCAGTGGGCGAGGGAGACCGAATAGGTCGAGGGGGCCGATGAGCGCACCCTCCTTGTCCTATACCAGGGAGCCCTCCGTAGCTCCCCGTACGCCAGAAGCCTCATCACCGATCCTCCAAGATCGTATGCAAAGGCGCTTCAGCGCGGGAGCTTGTACGCCGACGAGCTCCACACCCACAAAAAAGAGGGAGGCCATCCCTCCAAGAAGACAAATCCTTCGCCGGCCCCGGGACCATCCCCGGCCGGCCAGGGTGCCCAGGGCCGTCACGGCTCTGGTGGACAAAGCAAGAAAGACCGCCACTGGCGGCCGAGGTTGGAACGGCCGGGGGTCCCCCTCACCCACCCGGTCAGCACCATCCTCGACTACGCCGAGAAGCATGGCCTCATTGAGCAGGCTCCTCGGCCGGCCGAGGAGGTCCTTGCCATCCAGCAAGGAGGCACATGCTGCCGGTTTCACAAG